AGCTGGGTACGGTAAAAGGATTTCGCTTCAACAGCTAAACAGATGTCAGCTCTCATTGACCATGCTATAGTCAACTGCAGTGACAAACCAACAGTTCTGTAGTCCAACTGTATAGCAGGACTTCTGAATAAATCGTTAAGAACAGTGTGAAGTATTTGTTTTGATTTACATGCCCCATTTGTACGTATCAGGTAATTTTTTCCAGACAGAAAACACCAGCGATGTGGGCCAAATTCATTATTTATATTCAATTATTATTATATTATATACTTATATTCAATCCCTTCTCCCTTACAAGGGGTATCTTTCAGGGCAAGCTGCACTTTTTATAAACGGCTCCTTGCTTATTGTAGGGACGCATGTATAGACCACGAATTTATGTTTCATTCACAGAACGGCTTAGCAGTTCCATAATAAGAGTCATAGGGCACGCTAATGGTTCGATCCTCCGCGGTGAATAAATTTTGCAGTTAGAGTTGGCCGCCAGTTCGATTTGACATCAATCCGTAGGCGCCAATTTAAATGCAAAATTTAGTCGCCTCTCAGGGGATCAAACCATTAACAGTAACTTGCTTCTCTTCTTTGGTACTGCTAAAACCATTCAGCAAAAATGACACATGTGTCGTGACCAGTGCCGCCTGTGGAATGCATCGGGCTTATGCACCGGACCACGGCAGAACGTGGAAGTTGTCGGTACCCACACACCCTCGAGGAGTTCCCACGCCGCGCCCCCAGAATGCTCCAATTGCCTTGCCACGGGCGATTGGGCCTTACCCCTGTGGCCTGCGGAAGTGACTACTGCGCTGATTGTACTAAGTACGAGAGAATAGATGTTGGTACTAACCGGCTATAGCGCACACTATACTACACAAGATACTGATACTGATTTATGGGCATCTACTACGACAATAATAATAATTGTGATATGAAAAGGAAAGCAATATACAAAGGAAATCATGAGATTAGTCGTACTTGCTACGAGAAGAGTGAGTATAGAAGAAATATACCATCATCGACATGTTGCGTGCGCTTTTCCCCGGGGGCAGGGTCAGGACGATGTGGCCGGTCCACCGACTTATGCCGGGCAGGTGACTTCTCCGGCTTGACGAGACCGACTGCACTCGAAGATCCGCTCGGCTGGCTTGAAGACAGAAGTTGGAGCCGACTTGACTGGAGACGGACGAACCAAGAGACTGACGTACTGACGACTGCGAGCGCAACTGGCTTTTCCCGCGCATCCAGCATCTTCCACGTTTCGCGGTAAGATCGCATGCGAGTTTGAATGGAGCGCGGTTTCATCCCGGCGCATATCGTATCCCCAGGTCGTACGCAAGTCACGACAACATGGTTTTGTGTTCCCTGCACGCGTCCCTGCAATGTGCAAAAAAAGTTTTGTAAAAGCGCGGCTTGCCCTGAAAGACTCTCCTTGTTAGGGAGGTCTCGCTGCAATTCCCTGCACGCTTATCCCCATATTACGCAGATATTTGTGCCAAGAAGGATTGTGGAAACTAAGAAAATCACAGAATAAGCAATGCGGCATTGAGCAGCGCAGTTCAGATCTGTAGCCTAGACCTCCGAAGTAGACGGCAGACAATTTTGTTGTGGACTGAGAATTTATTGGTTGTCTTATCATCGATCATCAAGCCCTAGAACGATCAAAAAAGTGAGATATATATTGGCAATATCCCTCAAAACACTATCTATTTATATCTATTCTACTCATCCAACTAAAGCAGTTGGTCTCTTAGTATTATGCTGTCGCGAAGCCTCATCAGGACCTAAATGTTATACAACACAAGAGACACCAAAGTTTTTATTTCAAAAGAATTCCAAAAGTTTCCAAAAAATTTTTTTATTGCTTGAAAGAATTCCAAAACCTCAAAAACAGAAATGAAGAGAATTCCATTGAAATCTCTGCGATATTTCGGTGTATAACACCTTCTTCAGGCCTGAAATACATTGATATTAGTTGGTATAAGTATGAATAAGGTCGAATTTCAGGCCTACATGGTTAAGTGTAAGTGTAAGTGTCTGCCGTGACTTACGGGTCGGTGGTTCGATGGTCCAGCCACGACACAAGGGGGGGGCTCCCACCCCCCGCCTCCCACCCTCTGCTACCCAATCCCTGTGCTTGACGAGGATTACGGCACAATTGAACCAAAGGGATCCCTGTGCTTGACGAGGGTTACGGCACAATTGAACCAAAGGGTTATCAATGAACACTTGGAATAGCATCGCAGAATATGTCCATATCTTCCACGACGTCATTGCACACGTCCCGACTTGATGGGCAAATATCTGGTTGGTGATTAGGATCGTGACAGACCCTGCAAGAGACAGTGCGGTGGCAATCGCCAGGAGTGTGCACTACAGGCAGCGTTAGCACCGGCCATTCTTCACCGCTTTCAAGCAGCGCTCTCTCAGTGAGACGGCTCGGGGTATGTATTGGTGTATTGATTGTCCTTGCAGAAGTGACAACATGAGACATGCGACGAGACGTTCTCAGGTGATGATGACCTTCCGCTTCGACTTGTACTTGAAGGGGAATGAGACCGACGAGCTTGGGGCTTGCGAGACAAGCGGCACAACACGGTAACAGGAACGGGAGGATTCGGAGCGTTTATCCTCGTGGCGGCTTGACTTGCGAGGGGGTTCCTCGACGGTTACTTCCACCCTTCAAATAGTACTTCAATGAGGGCTTTGCTTGTGACACTTTGGAGTACAACGCGTTGAGTTCTTCAGCCGTCGGGATATCGACGGATTTGGCTGGTGCATTAGAAGTGGGGTCGACATGGTGCAGAGAGGCTATTGCGTTTCCGATGTTGTCTAGTGGTTAGGATTTGCGGTTCTCACCCGCAAAGCCCGAGATCGATTCCCGGCCGATGCACCAAATTTTGTCGTGACTTACGGGTCGGTGGTTCGGTTGGTCCAGCCACGACAAAAGGGGTACTCCCACCCCCGCCTCCCATCCTCCCCTGCCCAGTCCCTGTGCTTGACGAGGAAGTTACGGCACGATTGAACCAAAGGGTTATCAATAAACACTTGAAATGACCATCTGACATCAACGGATGGTTAATTCAGGAATGGACCTCCCATTTTGAAAGCCTGGAATTTTTCAAGTTTCTTTCGAATGATATGTAGCCTGATATAATAAAGTAAAAGTTGAGAATTTGCGAAGTGTTGAATATCCATGGTCTCCTGGAGAGCCCGGTGGTTAGGTCAGCATGCTCGCGGTCTCCAGTATAAATATTAGGTTGCTGCAATTGAAATGTCGCTCGGATTTAGTTCAACCCCACTTGGATCTCCAGAGGTGGTTGAGCATTTATTTGAAAGGGGGCATCTAGGAGTACAGGAGCGACTACTCATTGCCTATACCCTTTCGTTTTTTACCTGAATTTTTTTTTCTTTGAACGATGACTGATCAAAATTCGGTGAAGGTCTAATGACATCTTCAGGAGCAGAATCCAGCTCACACGGTAAAAGCAAACTTTTGTTAACAAGATGCGACCTACATCAAACCGTGGAGTGGCTCGGCGAAGAAGAAAACGCCGCTAATCCCACCAGCCCGGCGATGTGTGATTTTTTGCGTATGGCG